GTGTCATAACTGTTTCTTGTTTTGTGGCTGTATCATAGTGTATGTGCAAGTGATTATCCTGCCATTTACCCTGTAGTGCCTGTTGATATTTTGATAGCCCCTCTCCTTGGGCCTGGTGGTGTTTACAGCAAGTAATCGCCTACATGTCTGTGATCTCAGGACCACAGTGTCTCTCACAGCAGCCATACCTGCCCTGGTTCCCTGCAGATATCACACATATGTCAGCATTTCCACCATGGCTGGCATACCTACCACAGTGTCATGAGCCATTGGGATAGCGCTGGGGCGGTGGGGTAGTCTAATGGTTAAAGCGTTGGCTCGTCGCGACCGAATACCCGGGTTCGAATCCCCACATGGGTACAATGAGTGAAGTCCATTTCTGGTGTCCCCAGCCGTGATATTGCTGGAATATTGCTAAAAGCGGAGTAAAACCAAACTCAGTCAGTCAGTCAGTCAGTCAGTCAGTGGGATAGCTCTACTACCACTGTCATGATAGAGATAGCACTCTTACCACTGTCATGAGCCATTGGGATAACGCTACTACCACAGTGTCATGAACTATGGGGATAGCACTTTTACCACAGTGTCATGAACTATGGGGATAGCACTTTTACCACAGTGTCATGAACTATGGGGATAGCACTTTTACCACAGTGTCATGAACTATGGGGATAGCGCTACTACCACAGTGTCATGAACTATGGGGATAGCACTTTTACCACAGTGTCATGAACTATGGGGATAACACTTTTACCACAGTGTCATGATAGGGATAGCACTCTACTACCACAGTGTCATGAACTATGGGGATAGCACTTTTACCACAGTGTCATGAACTATGGGGATAACACTTTACCACAGTGTCATGAACTATGGGGATAGGATAACACTCTTACCACTGTCATGAACTATGGGGATAACGCTACTACCACAGTGTCATGAGCCATGGGGATAGCGCTACTACCACAGTGTCATGAGCCATGGGGATAGCGCTACTACCACAGTGTAATGAACTATGGGGATAGCACTTTTACCACAGTGTCATGAACTATGGGGATAGCACTCTTACCACAGTGTCATGATAGGGATAACACTCTTACCACTGTCATGATATGGGGATAGCACTCTTACCACAGTGTCATGAACTATGGGGATAGCACTTTTACCACAGTGTCATGAGCCATGGGGATAGCACTCTACCACAGTGTCATGAACCATGGGGATAGCACTCTACTACCACAGTGTCATGAACTATGGGGATAGCACTCTTACCACAGTGTCATGAGCTATGGGGATAGCACTCTTACCACAGTGTCATGAACTATGGGGATAACACTCTTACCACAGTGTCATGAACCATGGGGATAGCCCTACTACCACAGTGTCATGAACTATGGGGATAGCACTCTTACCACAGTGTCATGAACTATGGGGAAACTCAGTCAGTGTCATGAGTCAGTGGGGATAGCACTACCACTGTCATGATATGGGGATAACACTCTTACCACAGTGTCATGAGCCATGGGGATAACGCTACTACCACAGTGTCATGTACTATGGGGATAGCACTCTTACCACAGCGTCATGAGCCATGGGGATAGCACTCTTACCACAGTGTCATGATAGGGATAGCACTCTTACCACAGCATCATGATAGGGATAGCACTCTTACCACAGTGTCATGAGCCATTGGGATAACGCTACTACCACAGTGTCATGTACTATGGGGATAGCACTCTTACCACAGCGTCATGAGCCATGGGGATAGCACTCTTACCACAGTGTCATGAACTATGGGGATAGCACTCTTACCACAGTGTCATGAACTATGGGGATAGCACTCTTACCACAGCGTCATGAGCCATGGGGATAGCACTCTTACCACAGTGTCATGAACTATGGGGATAGCACTCTTACCACAGTGTCATGAACTATGGGGATAGCACTCTTACCACAGTGTCATGATAGGGATAGCACTCTTACCACAGTGTCATGATATGGGATAGCACTCTTACCACAGTGTCATGAACTAGGGATAGCACTCTTACCACAGTGTCATGAACTATGGGGATAGCACTCTTACCACAGCCATCATGAACTATGGGGATAGCACTCTTACCACAGCACTCTTACCATGAGCCATGGGGATAGCACTCTTACCACAGTGTCATGAGCCATGGGGATAGCACTCTTACCACAGTGTCATGATAGGGATAGCACTAGCACACTGTTACCACAGTGTCATGATAGGGATAGCACTCTTACCACAGTGTCATGATAGGGGATAGCACTGTCTGAGCCACCACAGTGTCATGATAGGGATAGCACTCTTACCACAGTGTCATGATAGGGATAGCACTCTTACCACAGTGTCATGAACTATGGGGATAGCACTCTTACCACAGTGTCATGAGCCATGGGGATAGCACTCTTACCACAGTGTCATGAACTATGGGGATAGCACTCTTACCACAGTGTCATGAACTATGGGGATAGCACTCTTACCACAGTGTCATGAACTATGGGGATAGCACTCTTACCACAGCGTCATGAGCCATGGGGATAGCACTCTTACCACAGTGTCATGAACTATGGGGATAGCACTCTTACCACAGCGTCATGAGCCATGGGGATAGCACTCTTACCACAGTGTCATGAACTATGGGGATAACACTCTTACCACAGTGTCATGATAGGGATAGCACTCTTACCACAGTGTCATGATAGGGATAGCACTCTTACCACAGTGTCATGATAGGGATAGCACTCTTACCACAGTGTCATGAGCCATTGGGGATAGCATTCTTACCACAGCGTTAAGAGCCATGGGCATAGCATTTTTACCAGGAGCCACAGGGATACAAACTCACCATAATGTGTCTTTGTCCATCAGTTAGCATAGCACCCAGCAATATGGTGTGGCCCAGTGGTCTTATGTGTAGCTACTTGTTGTTTGTTGGTTTGAATCCCTCTTTTGTCTTGATCTTTGACCTTGGTATATCATCATTTTCCTTCTTGTGGGTTTCATTGAAGTGATAAAATCTGAGGTATTACTTTGGGCATTTTCCCCTCACAAGCTGCACTGTAAGTATTGTGGAAACAGGTGTTAAACTTAAGTTTACTTACTCACTTAAAGGTTTGTATGTTTGAATAAGTATTCCTTTATTTTGGATTTGGGAAGTCAGTTTTTTAATATGTAACAAAAAACCCATAATGCATGTGTACAGTCATGATGATTAAAGACTCTTGAAGGCTTACATGTATCACAGCATGAGACAGAGCATTCCCTCTCACAACTTCCCTGTCAACACATTCCACATCCTCTTGCATGTTAGGAACCATATTAAGTTACTCTTTTATGTTATATCTCATCCTGTAGCTGTGTCTTATGTCTTCATGTTGAAATAACAGAATCTAGAACTTTGTGATAATATTGGTCTACACTACCAAAGCCCTCTGTCTATGTGGTTATTCATGTCAGTTGTTAAGTTACTTTTATTATAATTCTTCTATTACAATGTCCAAATGACCTTTCCTGTGTAGATCATCATGAAATTTCTCATGGTCATCTAGACTACCATGCTCACCTGTCTTACAAACATGATCATTCCTGCATCAACATGTTTGACTTTCAGTGTTAATGACTTCTAAGCCAGACTGGCTACAAGTAACAAGGAACATGCATTTCTGAATTAAGATTTCATTTGGAACAGGACAGAACAGTTTAGGCCAATCAGCTGAGCATCAGTGTCACAAATTGGCAGCAGGTTGTGCTGGTTGCTGTGTCTAGTGCAAACGTTGTTAGCCAGCAAGCCTGTTGTGACAGGGACGATGTGATGTTGTTGTAGTAAGGACATGGATGCTAAGTTGGAGATGTCCTAACCTTGACCCATCTGGACTGGAGGTAGTTCTACTGGTGGTTGCTGGACTTTCATCCCTTTCTCATGGGAACATCAGAGCATAGTGGTTTAAGGTCATCATCTCTATGAGTATTCCCAGAATGTTAACCTGTGATGGATGTTATGATCAAGATGAATTAGGTGATTATTTTGGTTAGGTTACCTGATTCTCCATAGTGTTTTGACTCCTGACTTTCTATAGTTACTCCAGCATAATGCATCTAAGGTTTGACAATTGCAGTGCAAGTTTAAGTTTGGAAGGACCAGTAATTAAAGTGTACTTCTGGACCACCAAATTTACCATTCAACTGACAATATCTCTGCAGCAGATCATTTCTGAATTCAATAGAAAATGTATTTCTAACCCTGCCACGGTTTACATGATGCCAGTAAACATTTATTAAAACCAATGATTTAAAATGTAGGTGGTCTGATTGGATAGTGTGATATACGAAATTTCAGTTTCCAAATTTCTTTTACCTTCAAGGGAATGCTAGGACACACACTGGTTGAATATTTGCCTTACTGGAGTGAGGCTAAAGTTGATGTACTAAATGTTTGTTTTGAAGCCATGATTTTCCTGTATTAATTGCTGCCTCAATGGATGCATTTGTGAAGGTCTTGTTCAAGACTTTCAAGAACAAAATTGGAAATGAGTTTTCCTTCAAGGAAACATATGTATTCACAGATTTAGCTATTACTAGGATGATATAATGTTGTGTCAGTTTATAGATAGAGGTTACTAATTGCTGACTATGGCAAAGCACAAGTTATCAAATATTTACAGTGTGTGGTATATCTGCCAGACACTAAACGTATGTTTAGTAGTACTTTTGCAACTTTTAGATTTTATTCTGGCCACAACCCTTCATGACAAAACTGAGAGAACAGGGGTTATGATCATCTTTTACATTTGCTTTCCCTTTTCACATTGTATATGGGGATCTGATTCAGATTGAGTGGTCATCCATTTCTTACCAAGATGGAACTCCCACAGTGATTGAGAGTCCAATGCCACCCTGCTTTGATGCATGGATGCTGTGGTACTAATGACCAACATAAGTCTTTTGTAGCTCACATGCCTCATCTTTGCTGTTTCAGAAAACCCTCGGGGAAGAAGGTATGTCCCTTGAGTTCCGCCACATTGCAAGCTACCTCATCTGGTACTGCTCCCATCACACCCAATCCGAGGAGCTGATGCATGAAGTCATCCTGTGTGTGGGCTACTTCACTGTCCTGAACACAGACAACCAGGTGAGCTTCTCTATATTGTACTCCTTGGACACCATGGTAGAGATTATTTGGGACACCCAGTGGAGTACACCATCAGTTATGCCAATCATCATTTTGTCCTTTTGCCTGCTCAATTTGTTTGCAAATCTGACCCAACATACTTAGTATTTTCCACATATTACAATACCTACATCTTACCTAATCCCATGTCACCCCATCCTCCTACACAGTCACTTATATATAAATTAGCTTACTACTAAACACAAACTTCCTCCTTACCCTTATACTGTACTTACACCTACCTCACCATTTTACTATTCCTATACCACAGCATTTCATCACGTCTCTACACCTACCTCACCATTCTGCCACTACAGGCTCCCTATCAAGTTGACATGTCAAGATATGTCTGGAATACTGTTCAAAGAGGCATTGAATCCAACTCGCTCACTCACATCCACTGTGCCGAATTACCTTTCTTACTAAAGAAAGCTATGGTTGTTGGTTTGAATCCCAAGTTGCCGCAATTATGTTTCTAGGTTTGTCAACATAATACCCATACTCCTGGTTTCACAAAGTGGTAAATGTCAGTGAAGACTTTGGGCTTTACTCCGACATTAAGCTGATATGCCTTGATATAACTGGAGTACTCTTCAAATGCAACTTTCTCATTGACTCACCATTCATCTTAACCTACATTTATGATACCATTCTACTATACCTACATTTGTCTCACCATTTCCCTTTTCCCTTCTTACCCTACCATTGTACAACACCTGCTCCTACCTTACCATTGTACAACACCTGCTCCTACCTTACCATTGTACAACACCTGCTCCTACCTTACCATTGTACAACACCTGCTCCTACCTCACCATTGTACAACACCTGCTCCTACCTCACCATTGTACAACACCTGCTCCTACCTCACCATTGTACAACACCTGCTCCTACCTCACCATTGTACAACACCTGCTCCTACCTCACCATTGTACAACACCTGCTCCTACCTCACCATTGTACAACACCTGCTCCTACCTCACCATTGTACAACACCTGCTCCTACCTCACCATTGTACAACACCTGCTCCTACCTCCACACACCTGCTCCTACCTCACCATTGTACAACACCTGCTCCTACCTACCTCCACCATTGTACAACACCTGCTCCTACCTCACCATTGTACAACACCTGCTCCTACCTCACCATTGTTGCTCCTACCTCACCATTGTACAACACCTGCTCCTACCTCACCATTGTACAACACCTGCTCCTACCTCACCATTGTACAACACCTGCTCCTACCTCACCACTGTACAACACCTGTTCCTACTTTATCATTCTCCTTTAACTATACTTTCATTTGAGTACAAAATGCCATTCAGAAAGTGGTCAAATGTGACATATGTTATATTTGGGGTTTACACTTTCTCAGGAAAGTACAAATTTACCTTTGTTAGGCTGAGTCCCATTCAGGATTCAAACCAAAACTGTCAGTCAGGCACCTAATCGGCAGCACACAAAGTCAACCATCTAACCCACTCAGCCACCGACGTTTCACCCCTCTCCTGTTCCTGTACCTACACCTACACCTACTTTCCCCTTCTCCTATAATTGCACCTACCTCACCCTTCTCCTGTACCTACACCTACTTCACCCATCTCCCTTGTACCTATATCTACCTCACCCTTCTCCTGTATCTACACCTACCTCACCCTTCTCCTGTATCTACACCTACCTCACCCTTTTCCTATATCTACATCTACTTCACCCATCTCCCTTGTACCTATATCTACCTCACCCTTCTGTATCTACACCTACCTCACCCTTCTCCTGTATCTACACCTACCTCACCCTTCTCCTATATCTACATCTACTTCACCCATCTCCCTTGTACCTATATCTACCTCACCCTTCTCCTGTATCTACACCTACCACACACTTCTCCAGTATCTACACCTACTTCACCCTTCTGTACCTACACCTACCTCACCCTTCTCCAGTATCTACATCACCCTTCTCCAGTATCTACACATACTTTACCTATCCCCTGTATCTACATCTATCTCACCCTTCTCCTGTATCTACACCTACTTCACCCTTCTGTACCTACACCTACCTCACCCTTCTCCAGTATCTACATCACCCTTCTCCAGTATCTACACATACTTTACCTATCCCCTGTATCTACATCTATCTCACCCTTCTGTATCTACACCTACCTCACCCTTCTCCAGTATCTACACCTACTTCACCCTTCTGTACCTACACCTACCTCACCCTTCTCCAGTATCTACATCACCCTTCTCCAGTATCTACACATACTTTACCTATCCCCTGTATCTACATCTATCTCACCCTTCTCCTGTATCTACACCTACCTCACCCTTCTCCAATATCTACATCTACTTCATCCTTCTGTATCTACATCTCGTTCGCCCTTCTCCTGTATCTACACCTACTTTACCCTTCTCCCTTGTACCTACATCTACTTCACCATTCTCCTGTACAAACTTCAAACTTCACCATAATTGACGATTCTACTGAACCTCCACCTACCTCAACCTTATCTTAACCCAAAACCTACCTCACCTTTCTAGTATACCTAAACTTACTTCACAATTGTCAAGTATTTACACCTACCTCTCCATTCTCTTGTCCCTAATTCCATTCTAATATATCAACACTTACCTAACAATTCTTCTTTTAATTGGCCCTCACTACTTTATCATGTAATACCTTCTTCCTGTCTCCCTGGATATTACATGCATTTACCCACTACAGTTCCCAGTATGCTGTGTGATCCAGTCTTCCAGACTGTGACTGCAGTGTTGCCAACATAGAATTCACCCATACGTTACTTTGGCTCTCTATGTTTACTATAACACCTAAAACTGTAGAAGATCAGGATTTATGCTAAACAGATAATTTGAGGAAAACTTGGAATTTATTAAAATAGATTTTCATTTTCTCTATCTTTTATGGTAAATTCATTTCACACATTATAGTGTTATACATTGTCCAAATGTATACACCCTCAGCACTGTTTTGGACTGAATTCTGCCTTCAAATATAATCAACCAAACCATGATTTCAGTTTGTATGAAGGCAACTTTCATAGCTAGGGATAAGTACATCATGGTGCTCTAGTTTTTCAACCCACACAGTATCCCTGACCTGAAATAAATAAATCAAAACTTACAAAAATACAGACGTTTTTATGTAAAATAATGATTGATGTCACACCTCTCTCTTGTTGTATCTGATAACACTAGCTTTCATCTACATGATACTGGAGGCCCATTACCAAACTGGTCAATGACTAACAGATAATTGGAATCAATTGACACCATCATCCCACACCAATAAGGCCACCGCCTGGTGTACCTGTTAGAGAGATAAGCTGGTTTACCTTGCGAGCGTTACAGTGGTTATATCCCAGCCAGCCATAGTATATCCTGGTCATCCTGCTTGTTACTGAATTGACTCATCAACATTTCCCTGCTTGTAATAAGCCATGTTATCCTGAAGTAATCTGGCACCCACTAGCATTACTGATCACTTTTATCTTGGTAGATTCTCCATACCCCTGTCTATGATGTATCTGGTATCACACGTATTTAATGCCAGGCCCGTCACGCCAGCAACGAGTAAAACTCTAATCCCCAAGCAAAATTTACGACTTTGTGAGTTTTTGCAGACAATGATGAGGACACATTTAATCAACTTAAAATCACCAGACTACAAACAAAAGCTCTTTTCTAAACTAGACTCAAATCCAGAGGGACAACATGAAATATTTTAATGTAGCTTAGTGTGACATTTAATTGAATAAAGCTCATATTTTGCTTGGATTAGTTTTTGTACTGCAAGATTAGGGTCCTGGATGGGCTCTTTAGGGAGGTCTCCAAGCCTGTCGGGATCTCGCGAGTTGGGGCTGCAGTATGAAGCTGGCCCCTAGGGTGTAAGTGGAATAATAACAGACCCGTGCTCAGCCCATAGGGAGAAGAACGGACGCTTCGACTAGCTTTGTTAGCAGAACTGCAAGAGAACACCGAGGAAGTGTGGGATGTGTGTAACACTACCTTAGCGTTTGTGTTATGTATGAATTGTGTTCTACAAAAGTAATATTGATGCTGTACCATTTGTCAGGATTTGATGCTCAATGAATGGAGTATTTTGGGGAAGATAATGATAAAAGATCGGTATCCAAGTGGTCTTATCAGAACGTTTGCTTGTCAGTCAGATTTAAGCTTATATTGATCGGCAGTATCTATGGCATTAAACATTACTTCACTGATCTTAATCTTTTGAAAGAATATCTGTCATTGCCACTGTAACTCGAGGAGGTTAGAGTTGCAGTGAAAGATAAGTGTTGATCTATACATGTTATCCTTCATATACCACGGAAGTCACACTGCTTCACGGTGGATCGTCAGAACCGTTCATGTTTTTCTGGTAATAAAAAGGAAGTAGCTATGAATGTTTACTGGTATACTTGAGTGTCTTATGCTTTGTGCCACTATTATGTACATATTTTTAGTTTAGCCTCCAGTATTCAAAATTAATCTAGCCGTAGAGGGTTGCTGCCCATTATCTGAAACTGATGTATTATTTCTATTCTAGGTTTCTGTCTTAGTTGCACTTTAATATCAACCATAATGATGAGTATAAATTTCAGGGGTTACTTGACTTTTAATGTTTGTTGCTCTTTTAGCGTTCATTCAAGTTGGGGCGGTGGTGTAGCCTAGTGGTCCAAATGTTTGCTCGTCACGCCGAAGGCCCGGGTTCGATTCCCTATGTGGGTACAAAGTGTAAAGCCCATTTCTTGTGCCCCCTGCCACGATATTGCTGGAATATTGCTAAGTGGAATATTGCTAAGAGCAATGTAAAACTAAACTCACTCACTCATTCAAGTTACAGAAAATTCTGTTCTGTAATTGTTGTTTATTTTCATGTGTATAGTTACATGAAGCAGTTATTATATCATGCTCCAAATAATTTCAGTGCTACAGTTAT